ATCCCTTTGGTTGCTTCCTGCTCCAGGATTTGATGGTTCTGCTCATAACTCTAACCAGCACTATGAGAATTAGCACTACCAGAAAGAGGAGGCTTCGTCTCCTTCAGTCACGGGTGCTGGCGGGCTGTCAGCCCCGAGTGGGAGTCGGATGAGAGAACAGGAAGATTCTTGACCTGCCCGGGACCTGCCTTCTTCCCTGGCTCTTGAGCGGCCCTCCCGCTGCTGCACGCGGCTCCTGAGTGCCAGGCTCCTGGTGCACACTTGGAAGCCGTCTCCATGCTACCAAGGGCTTGGCCACCTTGAGCGAACCTCTCTGGGACCTTGCCCTGGCTTTTGTCTGCTCCCTGGATGAGTCTGGCTCAGGCCTGCATTCAGGGACATGACCAGCATCCACTGGGCGGTGCCCAGTTTTTCAGACCCTGGCAGCAGCCTGAGGGGAGAGGGCGCGTCCACAAGTTTGTAAAACAATACATCCCTCAGAAAGGAATTGTCCAGCCAGGGGCACACATCCGGCCTGGGCAGTCCCTTCTGAACCTATTTGCTGCCAGACCTGGCCTCTGTATCATAATAATGAGCACCCTTCTCAGGGAGAGAGGGAAGTTCTTGGAAAGAGGGCAACATCGAGTGCACTTTGGAGAGTAACAGCCCAAAGTTCCAGGAATTGAGAGAACATGTTGAATGAGCATAAAGCTTTATGAAATACAAAGCGTATTCCCACTCACTTGATCACAGGAGCAATAGGCTGTGTAGCAGCTGTTCAAAACAGAGGTTCTGAGGTCAGGCGGATCTGGGTTCAATTCCCTGCTCTGCTGGTTGGTCTTGGGCAAGTTATTTTACCTCAGTGTTTCCTTCTGTACAATGGGGAGAGTAACAGTGTCTATGAAGTGATGTGATGCATATAAATGAGCATAACCTAGTACCTGGCTGTCCCAGGAACTCAGCGCCGCTCTCTGGCCCTCCTCCATGTCCCTCCACAGCACCCTGCTGCGTGGGCATTCATCACCCCCGTCCAACAATGACGGAACCCAGGGCTCGGCTGATTGATGTTCCTAAGGCGACACAGCTAGGATGTGGTAGAACCTGACTGGAAGTCTAATCTAGTTAGAAGTTTTATGCTTTCCCCACTCTGCCTGGGACTGGCTAAGGGGCCAGTTGCCTGAGAATTACCCACAGGTGCTTGTTAAACTCCTGATAACACTCCAGATGGACGGAGTCTGAATTTCCACGAAGAGCAGGGGAGGGGTCTGTATTCTTAACAAATGTGCTGGTGCCTCATCCACACTACACATTAGGCACTAGCATGCTGTTTAGTTATTAAACTGGGAGGGTGGCCATCAGAGGAACTGGGTTTTAATTTTTTTAAAAAAATCTCACCAGATGACATGTTTATTGATGTGTGTGTGTGTGTGTGTGTGTGTGTGAGAGAGAGAGAGAGAGAGAGAGAGAGAGAGAGAAACATCTACGTGAGAAAGAAACATTGATTAGTTGCTTCCTATACTCTCCCTCACTGGGAATTGCAACATTTTGGTGTATCGGATGACCCTCCAACCTACTAAGCCACCCGGCCAGGGCTGGGTTTTAGGAGAAATAAGAAGCTTAATGTCAGTTATGCATAAAGGTGTGGATTTGGTTGCTGAGGAAGTTGGAGGTTTGTGCATTCCCCTTTGGTTAATTTCATTATCCACTGTGCTTGGCACATGGTGACCACTTACCGTGGACCTCAGCTCCCCCGAGCATTTTGGAACTATATTTATTGTACCTCCAGTATAGCTCTTGTCACATATGTCATTGTGTTTACTTGTTTGTTTCCTCCACAAAGGGGGAAACCCCATAAAGACAGGAACCCTGTCTCATTCACCTAGGCCTCTATCCTCACCAGCGCCTAAGCACAGGCACTCAGTGAGCCTGGGTTGCCTTGATGAGACAGGGAAGTGGGCCAAAGGACCCCTGCCTGTCTCTTACAGCCCAGGACTGCCTGGCGCTGTTATTTCAGTTGAATACAACCAGCAGGCCTCTTCTCCTTCCCTCTCCCCTCTCCTTTGCACTGCAAGACAACCAAGAAAAGGAAAGGAGGCGAGACCTCCTGATTCTTAATCCACTTCCTCTCATTGGTCCATAGTCCCCACAGCATCAACTCTCATGCTGAGTAAGGAGTTTCTAGGGATCACAGGCCTCATTTTTCTTATCTTATTCTGTGGGATTCTAGGATCAGAATCTTCATTTTAATGAGAGACCCTAGCCATCTGTATGCACATTAGAGTCTGAAAGTTATTGCTCTAAGAGCTTTTCTACCAGAGAATCTAATGTTACCAGAGTGGCATGTCCCCTCTGCTGGAGGGCCACCTCTCCTACCTCTCTGCCCAAAGCTCTCTACTCCCAGTGGTGAAGGCTGAGTTCAACTCTGGCTCTGCCACTTACTAGTCATATAATTCTAGGCAGGTCATCTGACTTCTGTGAGCCTCGATTATTCATCTGTAAAATGGAGGCAATAACTGCAATTACACAGGTCTGTTGTAAGAATCAAAGAGATAACAGAGCGAGGCCTGGGACTCTCTCATTCCATCTTGTTTCTCCCTTTGCCCCTGTTGACTGCTGACATCTTTGTGAATTTACATTTTTAGGAATCACAGAGCAAAGCCCTTGCAATAAATCAAACACCCTTGAAAGATACTATGAGGTCTGGTGGCTAAGAAGAACATAGACAATCCAACCAGATGGGTGACTGTTTGAATTTCTACTCTCTGACTTACTGCTGCCTTCCTCCCTGAGCCAGTTTCCTCTTTAGTAAAATGGGGGTAACAGTGAAGTGAGGTGACAATCAGAAGAGGTAAGTAGGCAATGTACCTAGCACACAGTGAACACTCGATTAGTGACAAATCTCAATAGTATTATTATTATTAATTACCCACCCCTAGCCGCACAGAGAAGTAGAGGGAGGGTGGGAAATATCATGCAAATACAAAGTATTAGTAATAATGCTGATATTCCTTGGACTTACTTAAGACAGCCTTTGGCAGCCAAGTTAGTCCTAGCAATTAATGCCCCTCTCTCTGCCTGCAGAGTATTACTCTTTCCTCTACCCACAGTTGTCCTTCACCTGTCTCACCTTCCTCCTCTCAGCCAGCAGACTCTGGCCAGGCACCTCGTTCTGCTTGGCAAGAAAAATGAGCATGGCCTGCAGGCCGTGGCACCGGTTCACCACGAAGCTTGTCCTTTGGAAGTACAAGGAGCTGTAAAAGCTCCTGATGCCAACGACTCAGCCCGCCCCCAGTCAGATGTTCATTTGATTGGTCTGCAGGGTGGTCTGATTTGTGGGAAGTTTCAGGAATTCTGGGGTGATTCTAACATGCAGCCTGGGTTGAGAGGCACCTCTCTCATCTCCCGAATGAGGAGGACAAGCTCTAGAGGACTCCCTGCTGGTTCACACGCAGGGGATCCCCCCTCTGATCTCAGCCCCAGCGGGAGACTGGATGCTCACTCGGAAGTAAAAGCCTCTGCTCCCCAAAGCAGCAGAACCTCAAATGAACCTTAAGCCGACAAATTGAATCCTTGATTAATGGAAATATTTTTTGTTCCTCTTTATGAAAACAATTAAAAGCAGTTCACCCTCAGGAATTTAAAGGGCAGCGTCCAGGATCTGTCCTGGCCACCAAGAGTCCACCTCCTCTCCCCTAGTACACCCTCATAAGCACCCAGTGCTGGTGCAATGTCCAGCGGCGCATCAAGAATCCACAGGTGCCCTGCCTTCTACTCAAACCAAGTTACACCCCAGTCACTAAAGACAGACATGGTGGAACGGTGTTTTTAAGAAGCGGTCTCAGCAACAAAGATTAAAACCTAAAGAAAGGTTTCCAATTAATCAGATGTCTGAGTCTCTGAATGTCCCCTGCCCCAGTCCCAGTTATTTGTTTCAACTCATGGGGAATTCCAGGCCCCAATGGGGATGTATTTTTCAGGATTACACAGAACAAACCCAGCAGGCATCTGCCTACGCGGTTGACTCAGAAGTTACCAGCGGCTCTGGAGGCAGGTGGCGCATGATTACTTGCTCACCTGTGGTTAGAGTAGCCTGACTGGGCCCGTGTGACCTCGGCCACAGGTGATGGGGTGGCTGGGGAGGGTTGCATTGTGCCTCGGCAGCGCTCTGGTGGGCTCTGCCGAGAGGCCATCAGGCCTGGGATCAGAAATTCTCCCTGGGCGATGCGCACACAGCTCTGCGTCCCCACTGCCTTTGCGAGCCTGCTGTGCCCATGGGCAAAAAAAAAAGGTTGGGCTGCTGGTCCCTGCTCCCAAACCCATGCCTGTCACTTACACTCACTTCACCTGGATGCCTAGTAGCCCCGACTTCGGGGCAGATTCCTATTCAGCCTCTGAGGCTCTGCCCGGAGCCTTCACTGCAGGCCTGCACAGCCACGCGGCCCTCTGCGCAGCCCCTTGCCCTCCGCTCCGTGTCAACGGAGTCTGCTGGGCTGGGCCTGAGCTGCCCGCTGCCGTCCTGCCGCAGCTCTGTGCTCTGACGGCTCTGCCCTGAGCTCACCCACTGTCCAGCACAGCGCTGCAGAGGCAGGGACAGCTGTGCTTGCTGGATGAATGGTCACAGGAGCCAGGTGGCAGCTTCTGTGGATGGCAGGGGAGAGGGTTTCAGAGAGAAGGAGGGGCAGTCATACTCCAGGAGCTCCCCGCCGGGGACAAGAGAATGAGACCATGCCATCGGGGACGGCATTGGGGGAGGTTGGGGACACCTTTCCTGGGCTCAGGTTCTCATGGGCAACACTTGTTTCATAAGGACCTGCGATTAGGGACTTATTGACATGCAGATGTCATGTAACCATATAGCAAGGAAGTCTGCCCTTGATTTAATGGGAAGATGGCAGATGTGCAGCTGGGAGAGGTAGAGATGGTGGCAGAAACAGAGAGAGACAGAGCTAGAGAGACAGACACAGAAACAAACACAGAGACCAGCATTTTTTCTGGGGGTCCTTGGAGGGGCAGCCACTTACCAGCTCCTTCTTGAGCCAGGCTATAGCTTCATCGATATTCTCAAAGCCTTCCAGCTTGCCAGTGGACCGGGTCCCATCGTCCTGGCTGGCACTTCCATTGGGCGGGAGATGCTGCCTGGGCTCTCTCGGCGGGGAGGGCTCTTCCTCCCCACACCCGCCCTGCTCAGCAGCTGGCCTCGGGAAGGGCCATGCCTGTTCCTCCAGCCTAGCCTGCCACTCCAGGTAGGAGGGCCTGCGGGTCTCCAGCCTCAGTTTCTCAGTGAGGGCCTTCAGGCTCCGGAGGTGGTCGTCAGGAGCAGGGGCGGCCCCTGCCAGCCCCTCCTCTTCTTCTACTTGGATCTGGGGTACAGACATTCTAGAGTCTGCAGGGGCAGTCAGACATGGGAGGTGGTAGAGGTGATCGAGGGAGTCCTGGCGGGGTAGGTAAGGTTGGCGCCCGCTCTGGAATGATGTCACCCAGCTGGGGCCAAGGCTCCAGAGGGCATCGCTGGGATGTGAGCAGGTCCCGGAGCCAAGAGGGACTGGGGATGAGCCGCCCAGGGCGCCCTCCGGAGCAGCTGCAGAGCTTCAGGTTTAAGATTCTTTCTGGAGTCCTGTGGGCGCCATGCTTCACAAAAGGCAGGAACAGACAAGCATTAGCAGGAATCTTTGGGGGCAGCTCTGCCAAGATGTATCAGTCCTGGAAATGCAGGCGGATCAGAGATGGGCGGGGAAGCAGCTCCTCCTCGTGGGGAAGGGCAGGCGGCGGGAAGCTGCTGGCCGGTACAGGCCCTGCAAGAAGGATGTGAACGATGTCAGCAGAGGATGTGAACAAGGCCTGCGTGTTCCTGGGCTCCCCAGGAGGGGACACTGAGGCTCAGAGAGGTTCACTGACAAGGCTGCTAATTGCTACTTCAGGACTAGAAGTGAGGCAGAGAAATGAATAATAAATCAATACTTTGTACAGCGTTTCACGATTTATGAAATGATTCCATCCCTATAATCCTTGCTACAAGTCTAACTATTTGCTTTTGTCTCCATTTCACGCATGAGACACCTGAGTCTCTTCTGACTCACCCAAGAGCTCCCAGCAATTAACAAGGACAAGGCCAGGTCATTTAACTCTGAGGGCTCAGGTCTTTCTGAGCTGCAGCTGCCTGTGGGTCCCCATGCAGATGCAGATGTGCCGCTGGGTTCAGGAACCACTGACCCCACCCCACCCTGTCCCCCGCAGCACCTGTCCTCAAGTACCAGCTCTTCAAGGCCAGGCTTACAGCACACTCTCAGCTCCTTCCTCCAAGAACAACACCTTACCTCACCTCTTCAGAGGAGGAAGCAAATAAACCTGCAGCCAATGAAGGAGGAGCCAACTGCACTCAAGGTTGATTGTTAAACTGAGTGACTCACCATTCTAGGAAGATGGTTATCACATTCATGCCCACACAGCAGTGCCTCCTGGGCAAGGGCTTCAGCTCTCACATCTGATTTGGCCTCCCCACCTCTTGAGAGAAGGTTGAGCCGCGGTACTTGTCCCTTCATGTCAGGGCACAGGGTCGAGAAGTAGTTCCCAGTGAGAATTTGGCCCCAGCCCCCTGACCTCTGTGTCCCAGCACCCCCAGGGTACATCAGAGCAGGGACATTTGATTTGGCCTATGGAGAGAAGTTCTTGGCTTCCAGAGTGTTTTAAAAATCTGTGCTGAGGGCAAGCTGTGAAAAAGAATGAAGTGATATGGGACAATGTCCAAGATAAAGCTTACATGAAAAAACAAGATGTTCACAGCCTGGAGAGGATGCCACTCTTGTTGTGGAAAAGGACAGGAAGGAAGAGAGATTTTTGTTGCCTTGGATGTACCTACAAAGATCTCCGCAAGAACAACTGGGACGAAGGGTTTGGGGTGAGGAGGCCTGGGCTCTGGGTGAGGGTGGGCAGGCACAGGAGGGGGCAGAATGGGGGATGGGGCACAAATTCAAAACACAGCCTGGGCCCCCCAGGGAGGCTGCGTGGTTTCTCTTGGAGCGGGCATGGGAGATGCTCCGGAAGAGCAGAACTTGCTGTCTGTTCCAGACATTACAACTCCCACCTGTAGTGCAACCTGACCAGGGGAAGACCGGCTGCCCTCTTCTGTGCTTTGATGCCCCTGCCTTTGGGTATCCCTGAGGAATGAGGAGGAATATTCCACCTCATGTGATGGCAGAGAAACCTCGATTTCACCTCCACCCATGCAGGTGAAGATCCCCCGAGGAATTTCCACAAACATGGATTGTCGGGGGGCCGCACTCCTGGAGGTTGTAATTCAGTTCATCTGGGGTGGAACTCAGGGGTTGTATTTGTAAATCTCCCCCACAGGGTGCAACTGAGCCACCAGGGTTGAGAATAACTGGTCTTGAGATAGGAATACTAGACGTGGAGTCAGATGGCCTTAGCGGTAAGAGCTGTCAGGCTAGTTTAGCCTCAGTTTGCTCACCTGAAAAATGGGGCTGTGATACAAGCCTCTTAGGTTTGGGGTATCGGCGGAACTTAGGTCTGCGCACTCTGTAGGCTTTGCATGTTCCAAAAGGCGGGGTGTTCTCGCGGGTGTCTTTCCATGCAGTCTCTCAGTCACACGGGTGTCTTTAGAATCTCTCCTAATCTAAAGACTGATGAGCAACTTTCTGTGGCCCCTCCCAGGTGCCCTTGCGGAGGTGCCAGCGTTGGTTTTGAGTGTGCCTCTGGGCGGCTTTCCCCCACGGGGCTTCTTCCCATTGACACGGGAGCTCTGATTATTTCCAGCAAAACTTTAGAGAGGATCTAATGGTAGAAAACCATGAGCAGCTGAAACGGAGGGGAAGCCTCATGTCGCTTCCATCTCTGCCAGCTGCGTACCCACCCAAGAGGGCAGGGCCACCTACAGCTGGAGCGAGAACCTGTTAAGGGAAAGGTCTTCCCTTTGGGGTGGGCGACAGCTATGGCTGGATGACTTTATGTGGCTGCCTCCCCGGAAAGGGGGAGGCTGTTTTAATTAGTGGCTTCTAAATCATTTCGGAGAAGGCCTGCAAAGACAGTGTGAGGGCGACCTGGGGGCATTACCAGGAGCGCCAGCGAGCTCTGAGTCAGCTACTGGTGATCCTTTAATCCGCTGAGCTTGGGGAATGTGTCAAAGCATCCCTGTTCGCACCACTGCTCCTCCCTGCAGCGCCGGGCAGCAGGAGGGATCACCCCCATTTCACAGATGGGAAAATCAAGGGCTAGGAGGGGCGAAGGGATCCATCCACGGTCTCAGGAAGGTGCCAGGAGCAGGACTTAGGCACAGGGCCCCAGGTGACCCAGGTTTGACTGTGTTATCGACGTGGCGAGAGACCGAATGTCGATTCTGGCTCCAGATCTGCTACCAATGAGCTAAGCCGAGTACCTGGATACAGGCCGCCCCTCTTGGCCTCAGTTTCCTAATCTGTGCACTGGCGCCCCGCCCCCAGTCCCCCAGTCCCCTCTGCCTCGTGAGGATGATGTGAGAATCAGCTGGACTGACATGTGCAAGCTCTCTGCAAACTGTAAAGAGCAGTACCCTCTGGAAGATTATCACTATCATCATGGATTATTACTTTACATCAGGGATTCACCACCTTTGGAAGTGTGGTCGCATATAGGAGGAAGGGACCGAGTCCTAGACTGCCTCCTATTGCCCCCAGCACTCCCAGGTGACGGGGATGTGCTGAAACAGAATCTGTTCTCCTGGTCATTGAGTGGTGTCCAGGGAACACTGCCCCTCTGGGTGTCCCAGTGCCTAAGAGCCCAGTGGGGTTTCTCCCCTGCCCTCTAGCTAGAATGTCACTCACGCAGGCCAGTCCAGGTATGACTGAGTTGGACCCAGTCTGAACTGGTGGAGGGGCGCCGGCCAGGTACAGGGGGGCAGAGGCCAGCACTGGACCGCTTCCTGGGCCTCATCGAGACAAACCAGGAACTTCCAGGGTGCAGGCCCTGGAAGAAGGAGGCCTCAAAAACCTGGGCAGACCGGCTTTCTTTCCATCTAACCGAACTCCTTCCTGCTCCGGGGAGCATGTTGTCCCTCGCTCTGGGCTTGGCAGAGGTGGAGAGCCCGAGGAGGAGAGCCGGACCTGAGACCTGGGCATCCGGCAAAACAAGGTCAGGCTATAAATCCACCATGCTCGGGTGCCCAGCTCCAGGGGGCCTAATCTGCACACAGGGACTGCTATCTAAGTGCCTGGCTCACTCCGGACTGCAGAACACAGCGGCTGCCGGGAGGGGCGGAGGCCGTGCCAGCCATGAGCTAATTCCTCTGGCTGCCGGAGGAGCCATGAGGGTGCAGCTCAGTCACTCAGCCAGCATCTCGTCTCACGATGACCTAATCTGTCCCCTTGGACAACTTTCAAACCCACTTCCTAGACGGGTTCCGAGGGCAGGGAACTGTGGCGGGGGGGCTGCCAACCCGTTTTCTGCCTCTGTCTCTCTCTCCAGTAAAGGTAGCGTGAGCTCCTTCCCTGGCCGCAGTCACTCAGTCCCCATCCCTGTGTGGCCTCCAGAGAAACTAGAAAGCCATTCTCTTTCTGTTTGGATCTACGGGCTTATGCCTGCTCTTTCCAGACTTAGGTTCTTCCCTAGAACCATTTCATTTCTTCTCCACAATATTGCATCTTTCCAATACTCCTGTCCCACTGAATGCCATGCTTTCTCATGCCCTGTGACTTTGTACAAGCTGTTCTCCCAGCCTGCAGTGCCTTTCCCTCCTTTCTGTGCCTCAGTTCTCAGGAATTGTCTCCTTCAGGATGTTCTCCTTAACGTGCCTGAGATGTGTGTGCCTGGGATGCAGCGAGAGCACATTGGAGAAACAATGATGTCACCACAACAATGTCAGCTAATGCTTACTCAGAGCGTACCACGCCAGACATTGTTCTAAAGCCTCACATGCACGAGCACATTTAAACCCCACAACAACCGTATGAGTATTATCACTGTCTTCATTGCGCAAGTGAGGAGACTGAGGCACAGAGTGATGGGGTAGCTTGCTCAAGGTCACAGAACTAAGTGGTAAGGCTAGGGTTTGAACCCTTGAAGCTTGGCTCCAGCCTGGCTTGAACCACTAGACTTACTAGCCCTTTCAAGCCATAGCACTTCTACCAGGGACTTTCTCAATGGTGTCCTCTACGCAGACTGAGCTTCATGAGGGTGAGAACCAGGCTTTGTATCCTGGAACCTTCAGCCCTCAGCACCATGCTGTCCTCCCTAAATCTTCATGGGCTGAATGAGCAAACAGCACAGATTCCCCCCAACACACACACATACACACACAGCTGTGGCCTGTACTGGCCCAAGTCTCAGCCTGGCTGGACAGGCTCAGAGGAGCAGAGTGGACCTGGACTTCTGTGATGGCACCTTCACCACCTGTCCTCATTAAGACCCGCCTTGACCTCAGAGACCTGGACATAGGCCATTGGGCCCCAGAAGACAGGAGCAGCCTCACCCTGCACCAAGTGCCAGGATAGGAACTGCCTCACAGAGAGGGCGATTCAGTGTCACAGGTACTGCTGGAGGATCTCCTCCCTGTCA